TATAGCACAAGAAGTAGCCATATTCTGTAAAAGGTATATCCTGGCAATATAGAGCAGCCATTTTTAGTAAATGATATTTCCTTTTAATACAGAGAAGACATGAATATAGCATAATAAATAGCTAAATTCAATAAGTTCTATATTCTAACAATATAAAGTAGTGATAAATATAGCACAAAAAGTAGCCATACACAGTGAATGCAATATCCTTGGAATAATTTTAAGCAAAGAAAAAAAAACTATGTGTCATCTACTCAATGAAGACTGGCTATAGTGGACCAACTGCCACCCTCAGAAACATTACGTTGTGAGGCCCCAATCTATCCCACTAATCAACACGCGTACTACTGACAAAAAAACTAAGAGAATGATTTTCTTTAACTCTTTTAGTTTCAAGCAGCGCTTGGTCTGTGAATAGCACTACCCCTTGATTTCATTCCAAGACATAATGTAGTTTTTATGTTTGAATTAATCAATCAATCAAGGATTAACATGACTTCACTCAGGATATTCCCACACATGCCCAGTCCCCTTCTTCAGCAGCCAATGAAGAGTTGACATGCTAACAGTAACAGTTGTAACCAGATTAAACTTCTGTTTCGCCTTCTTCTTCTTCTTCTCTTCCACCGCTTACCTCATTCAGGTGTTGGTGAGGAGATTGGGGGGGGGGGGGGAATTAAGAATCGTTTGTGCGCTTTTTCCAAATGCACTGTAAAAGTTGGTGTTCATTTCTGTTAGGCTGCTCCTGATGATGTCGCTCCATATCTTGCGTGATCTTCCCCTTGCTCGGTGTTCATTATATTTCTTCAGCGTGGCTCTCGGTGGCAGTTGGAACCAGAGCATTCATGTCAGTTGGCCAAACTATCTCATTTGTTGTTCTATAATAAGCTGTATGACTGGCTTCAGTCCTAGAGTTCTACTAATTTCTTCATTTCTGATTTGATCTCTTCTTGTCACACCTAGTCTTCTTCTAATTTCTTCATTTCTGATTTGATCTCTCCCTCGAAATCGGAGTACATCTGCCGGTGAGGCAGGGAACGAGGACTGCAAACAAATAAGACAGTAAAAGGGATGTACACGCAAAACTCAGGTCGAGGTAAAAGCCAAAAGTCCATTTTGGACGAACAACCGCGACTTACCGCCGGAATTCACAGCCGGTGAACAAGAAGAAGAAAAAGAAGATTTGATCTCTTCTTGTCACACCTAGTCGTCTTCTAATTTCTTCATTTCTGATTTTATCTCTTCTTGTCACACCTAGTCTTCTTCTAATTTCTGATTTTATCTCTTCTTGTCACACCAGCAGCTCTCCTAAGACATCTCATCTCTGCTGCTACGATCTTCCGCTCATTAGTATGGGTCCATGTTTGAAACTGGTAGCACAATATTGGCCCCAAAAAAAATCGTTCTAATGAGACTGTTTCCTCTACAATGTTGAATATCTTGTCTAACCCCCGCTAAATTAGTCTTTCAATGTATTGACTCTCCGACTGTTCAACTGCACTGCCCATCTGATCTCATCACATCCGCTTGATCATTCAGTAGCTCACCAAGTTTTTATGTTTGGGTAGAGCATACACAAAAATCTGGCCTCCCCAAACAGGCACTGCCACTGTGTATATTGCCACTTTGAATATAATTTACGCTGTTTCCTCACTTTTTTCTTTTTATCTTTACTTTACGTTTCTCCCGTCAAACCTTCTGATACTGAAAGAGTTAAAACTGTCCACAGTAGGAACTGAACCCCATTATTCGAGGGTCATGAACCCCATTATTCGAAGGTCATAAAAACAGTAACTACATTCCTCTTGTGTAGGTTCCTGGGCCCTATTATAGGGAAGACAAGAATAGACCCACTGCCTACCCAAAAGCATGTCATAAGAGTCGGCTAATTGGGAACTTCTTTCGAAGTCAGAGTGCATCTGACTGAGAGGAAAGGAACCAACAGTCTGCACACAAATGAGTCAGATCTGTCAAACGATTGCTGACGCAACACTCAGGTTCTGGAACAGGACTTCTTCTTCTTCACTTCCTCTTTTACCGCTGTGGGTGTCGAGGGAGATATAAGGTTCTGTTTCTAGCTCTTCTGGCTGCCTCGACCATAGGCACATCGTGCTGTTGTAGAGTTTCTCTGATGTTATCCTTCCATCTTGTTCTTGGTCTACCCCATGCTCTACGTCCTTCTTCTCTTTCCATGAATGCTTTGTATGGTATGGTGTCACAAGGCATTCTCTCTAAGTGGGCAAACCATTCCACTTGCTGTCTTTGTATGTAATCCAGAATTGGTTCTGTGCCAACTTGTTCACTTATGATCTCATTCCTGATCTTATCTCTTATGGTCACTCCTACAGCCCTTCTCAGACATCTCATTTCCGTGGTTACTAATTTTCTTTTATGGTTTGTTGTAAGTGACCATGTCTGGCACTGGTAGCACAGAGTTGGAATAAATATGCTTTGAATAAGATGCCTCTTTGTGCTGATTGGGATTGTCTTATGCTGTAAGAGGAACAGGACTGCAGTCCAAAAGTGGACGAACAATCAGAACTTTCCACCAGAGTTTACAGCTGGTGAACGCAAAGAAGAAGAAGTAACCGCATTTGCCAATCTCTAAGCCAGAAAGCAATAATATAGAATATCTATAAATATAGAATATCTATAAATATAGAATAGCCATAAACGCAGAATAGCCATAAATGTAGCAGTTTAGTAGCCTAATTAAGTCAAATTTATAACCTTCTTGCCCTATGAAGAAGTTATATTATTTAAGCAGTATTATGCTGTTTATCATCACTGTTCAAATTTGTCTCAAGCATCAGTTATTATTTTGTGTAAATGTCTTCAACCCTTTCACCCCAGGAATGCTAAAAAAAATGGGTCATAAACTGACTGACTGACTGACTTTCTACCCCACTAGGACATCACACAAGCGATAAACACCCAATGATACAAAGTGCCACCATGTGGATGAGGATCACCATGCAGAGGTCCCAGAAACTGCGTTCAGCCTTTAGGCCATATTTATGGCCAGGCTATATTGCGGCCTCTGGCAAGAGCCAGAGTAGGGCTTCAAATAATGAAAAATTTCATCCTGAAAATGATGGAAAGTTATTAAACTAAGAAAGGGTCATAAACCACTTAAAGCATTCTTTGAAATTTTTTTTTTAAATCCTTTTACACAGGTCAGTAATAATTTTTTTTAATGAATTTATCTACATGTTTTAATTTGTGCTCTTCAAAAAATATAAATATGTATAAGCGGCATAATCAATAAACATATTCAGATTGAAATATACATTGAAAAATTAAACAGAATACATTCCCCGGGTCTAAAAACAGTGCTTGTAACGTTTTCCAGCCCAGAAGGAGAGTGACTTCCCTTGCCATTCATAATTTGTCATGATTAGTGACTAGCCAGTAACAGGTAGTATTTTACTCATTGTCAGCAGCCGGCGATATCGCGCGTTCTATATTCCAAGATCTGAGAGCTTTCAACGGTCAAAAAACATCTAGAACGGGCCCTAACCCTCCTCCCACCATACATCCTCAGCTTATGTCCCACATGAGAGTGCAATCAGCAGGTGCCACGGAGTTGGAAATTCAGTAATTAATTTAGGATAATACTCCCATGGGTGATGTGATTACTTCAAGAGGCAAAAGAAGTTTCTGGAGGTGCATACTGAAATCTAATTTTCAGCGTTTGATGCTGAGAAGTCTAGCATATGACACCACAACATCTAGCTTAAGAATGGAGGTGGAGGCAGCCACTGCAGCTTTCTGCTTACGACAATGCCCCAAGTGCTGTGACGTCTGTTTTCATATCAACTCAACTCTCATATCAGATCTTCTTAGATCTGACACTTGTAGCACCTGTGTTGATGCCTGTTGTTATTATGTCAATATTTCCTTTAATACACTAATGGATGCCTAACATAAAGACATAACAATCAACACAGGAAGAAATAGTACATCAAGTAGTGGCCATTATTGAAACATCACAAAAAATACACAAACATCACATTAACGAGTTCCCACAACTGTCACGTTAAGAAACAGCAGCAACCCCCACACAAGAAGCAGTAACAAACACCCTCAAAATTAAACAGCCATAACCATCAAATTAAGTAACAGCATCAAACATCACAGCAATAAGTTGCCACAAACACTTCAACAAGAAGCAGCTAAAACTATGACATTAAGAAACAGCATCAACCACCACACAACCATCAAAACAACACCTAGACATTTTCAAACATCCAGAGGTTGCACCAACCATAAGATTAGCAAGTAGCCATTTTCTAAACATTCAGAGGTTGCACCAACCATAAGATTAGCAAGTAGCCATTTTCTAAACATTCAGAGGTTGCACCAACCATAAGATTAGCAAGTAGCCATTTTCTAAACATTCAGAAGTTTTACTTTATCATAAAATCAACAAGCAGCCATTTTCTAAACATTCAGAAGTTGCATTAATCACAACATGGGCAAGTAGCCATTTTCTAAACATTTAGAAGTTGCACCAATCACAGCATGGGCAATTAGCCATTTTCTAAACATTCAGAAGTTTCACCAACCATAACATAGGCAAGCAGCCATTTTCTAAACATTCAGAAGTTGCATCGATTATAACATCAGCAAGTAGCCATTTTCTAAACATTCAGAAGTTGCACCAATCACAGCATGGACAAGCAGCCATTTTCTAAACATTCAGAAGTTGCATCGATTATAACATCAGCAAGTAGCCATTTTCTAAACATTCAGAAGTTGCATTAATCACAACATCCCCAAGTAGCCATTTTCTAAACATTCAGAAGTTGCATCAATCACAACATCCCCAAGTAGCCATTTTGTAAACATTCAGAAGTTGCACCAATCACAGCATGGGCAATTAGCCATTTTCTAAACATTCAGAAGTTTCACCAACCATAACATAGGCAAGCAGCCATTTTCTAAACAATCAGAAGCTGCAACAACTATCACATCCGCACGTGGCCATTCTCCAAATATCAAGAAGATGGATACCAGTTCTGTGACCTATGAACTGCATTCTCCCACTGATGATAAAGCACCTTGACCTGCGACCAGTTGTGCCTCGGTTCAAACTGTCTGTCACTTTGCCGTAATGCCCGCAACTCCTCCTTGCTACACCACACACCTGAAGTCAAGTATGCGAAAAACTCTTTTCATGCACGAAAATAAATTGCAGTATGTGTGTGTGTGTGTGCGTATAAATGTGTGTGTATGCAAATATATATGTACACACACACAAACACAAGTGGGCTTCAAGTGAAAACCTTAAAAGTGTGATATAAATTAAAATAACTATGTCACTGTCTCATAACCTGTCAGTATTGTTGTTAAAGGTGTCAACTGCCATAAGCATGTGACATCACAGTGTACATAAATAGCTTGACATCTTACTGTATATGAACACCCTGACATCACAGTGTATATGAACACCCTGACATCACAGTGTATATAATAATCCTGACATCGCACTGTATATGAACACCATGACATCACAGTGTATATAATAATCCTGACAACGCACTGTATATGAACACCCTGACATCACAGTGTATATAATAATCCTGACAACGCACTGTATATGAACACCCTGACATCACAGTGTATATAATAATCCTGACATCGCACTATATATGAACACCCTAACATCACAGTGTATATAATAATCCTGACATCGCACTGTATATGAACACCCTGACATCACAGTGTATATAATAATCCTGACATCGCACTATATATGAACACCATGACATCACAGTGTATATAATAATCCTGACATCGCACTATACATGAACACCCTGACATCACAGAGTATATAATAATCCTGACATCTCACTGTATATGAACACCATGACATCGCAGTGTACATAAATAGCTTGACATCACACTGTATATGAACATCATGACATCACAGTGTACATAAATAGCTTGACATCGCACTGTATATGAACATCATGACATCACAGTGTACATAAATAGCTTGACATCGCACTGTATATGAACACCATGACATCACAGTGTACATAAATAGCTTGACATCATATATTTTCAAGAAATGAATATTAACCCTATCATTCTGAGAAGCAAAAACACACACACAAAAACACACACGCAAAAAAAAAAACACACACACACAAAAACTGACATTTCCAGTTGGATCCAGTTCCCCGTAAATGTCAATTTTGCGACTGGTCTGTAGTGACTTGTTAAGGAGATGTATTGTTAACGCAACTGGCTGAGTTTGCATTGTACAAACATTTAGGAGGTCAGTATATGAATAATTCAACTAACAATAGCATTATGAGGGGTTTTCCTTTGTGTGCTAAATGGCTTTTTTAAAGTCAAGAAGTCAGAAAACTCAGTGGTAAAAGTAATGGGGTCACATCACTCAGTTAGCCGATTAGTGTGTGTTTTTTTTAGGCCAGGGAGATGGATTCCATTTAATACTTTACCCCGTACGTGTGTACTAGTATCTTTACATATTTTTTTTTTTTTAATGTAATATGTCAAAAAATACATTTTTAACGAATTTATTAGTGACGTGTATAAAAAAAATTTGTTACAGGTTTTTTTTTCTTCAGAAATCCAAGCAGGGTCATGACCTATTTTTGTAAGAGTTATCGGGGCAAAAGAATTAAATAATGTCTTCAATATGATTTTTATTATTTGCAAAGCCAAAGTTGATGCACTCCGCAAAATGTATGTGAACTTGATGTAATAAATTCACATCGAAGCGAAAGCCAATGGAAAATCTTTGTGCAGGACAGCATGGCATATTATACCACAACATCTAGCATGAGAATGGAGGTGGAGGCGGTCACTGCAGTTTGCGGGTGGCTAGAGAACAAACACATACACATGTAACTGTAACGCACTCTGAAAGAGCAGACTGAAAAAAGTTAAGAACGGATTGCTTTAAGCAGAGTGGCAAGTTTCACTTGCAAGGTCACGGGTAGTGAGCATACTTTGGATCTGTTCTCCAGTGGATGTCTGCGTGGTGTGGAATGAACAGGCAGCAGATAGACTGGCTGGATCTGCACCACTGGGTAGTGAATTGATACATGACAAGGCAGATGTGGTCAGAGCCCTTTGGAAACAAGTAACAAAGTCAGAAGAGAAACAAGATTATGGGCTGGAGAGAATGATGCACCTGGGTGTGACCAGAGCACACTACTCTCAGAGGAAAGTCAAGAAGGACAAATAAACAGACTACAAATGGCACCATTAGTACTGGAACTCTGGGCTGGCTACTGAGAATGGGGACTGAGCACATATGGGAATGCCCCAAGTGATGTGATGTCAATTCTTGACTCAACTCAACTCTAAATCTACATCCAAGCATGCTTACTCTTCTGATGCAGCAGTCACACCGAGGTGCCTCTACTGATTGTCTCTATGAGTAGTTGGTTATTATGTTTCCTATCTTGGCACTGAAGGCAGCACAGACGTGCTTCGCCATACTTTACTCCCATGTCATGAAATAGTATGTTGCAAATATTTGACATTATCCACTAACCTAATGCGTACAGCGTTGATGATATCTGCTTTTTCCATGCTTCTTCCTGCATGTGTTGGTGCACTGCCTGCCATTTAGTCTACTCACTCCTTACCCTTTACACCGTCATGCCCAGGCGCGTAGATCCAGGTGAGGAGGATTAAGTGAGATTTTTTAATGCTTTCTACCCATTCAGAGTGTGAGGTTAAACAGTCATGAGCAGGACGTGACGATTCCTTGGGTGAGCCCAGTACCAGAGCACCATGTATTAGCTCTGCATTTGTGGAAGCCTCCTTGGATGGCCGAGAATGCTCTGTTCTGCCCCTGCCTTCTCTTGAGGGCTGATCAGCATTATGTGGCTTCTCTGGACCAGCCTGATTGGGGCACCACCTGTGACCTGGGAAATAAAGATGACCACACAACAATGAGACTGCCATGTCCTAACCAGGAAGGCTAACCCGGTCAACAAATGCCTGCAGAAGTCGGATGTGTTGGCCAAAAAGTGCAAATATCGCAGCCATGCAGTAAACGGACACAACGCAATTACATCTTCAGATGAACGCAGAAGAAGAAGAATATTACCTGTCCATTTACAACAGCAGTGCAATATGCTTGTTAGGAAAGCAGTGGTCTTATATTCTCACTCCTCCCCTCCACAAAGGGGGCCTGGAAACCACATGAAGAGGAGCTGAGAACAGCCCCAACTGAGATCAGTGGAAAGACCTGAACTCTTAAAGATGAAAACAAAAAACAAGACCTACTCACCTGCAGCAAGTCCTGCCAGAAATGCAGCACCCAGACAAGACATGTCGCTGTGTTGACTACGATCAATTACTTGGTTGACTGTGTCGCTCATCAACTGAACCAGAAAATCATTTCTGGCAACTCCTCCATCAACTCTGGAAAAACAACCGCGAAAAAGCAAAAGTAAAAAAAATTTTTTTTTTTTAAATTGTAAATTTGAATAAAGATGACCTAAACAACAGACTGCAAAATGTATTGCATTGCATACACAACAGCTTGTTTTACGTAAACGATGACAGACGTATCATACACTACCTGGTACTGTCAAGTAAATTAGCCTCTATTGAAAACTTATGATATATTTCCGCTATGCAATTTTTTAAAATTTTTACTTTGCCAGCTGTTTCAACCTAAAATTTGATGAACTTTTTCTTAAAAATTTTTACTTTGCCAGCTGTTTCAACCTAAAATTTGATGAACTTTTTCTTAAAATTTTTACTTTGCCAGCTGTTTCAACCTAAAATTTGATGAACTTTTTCTTAAAATTTTTACTTTGCCAGCTGTTTCAACCTAAAATTTGATGAACTTTTTCTTAAAATTTTTACTTTGCCAGCTGTTTCAACCTAAAATTTGAAGAACTTTTTTCTTAAAAATTTTTACTTTGCCAGCTGTTTCAACCTAAAATTTGATGAACTTTTTCTTAAAATTTTTACTTTGCCAGCTGTTTCAACCTAAAATTTGAAGAACTTTTTCTTAAAATTTTTACTTTGCCAGCTGTTTCAACCTAAAATTTGATGAACTTTTTCTTAAAATTTTTACTTTGCCAGCTGTTTCAACCTAAAATTTGATGAACTTTTTCTTAAAATTTTTACTTTGCCAGCTGTTTCAACCTAAAATTTGATGAACTTTTTCTTAAAATTTTTACTTTGCCAGCTGTTTCAACCTAAAATTTGATGAACTTTTACTTAAAATTTTTACTTTGCCAGCTGTTTCAACCTAAAATTTGATGAACTTTTTCTTAAAATTTTTACTTTGCCAGCTGTTTCAACCTAAAATTTGATGAACTTTTTCTTAAAATTTTTACTTTGCCAGCTGTTTCAACCTAAAATTTGATGAACTTTTTCTTAAAATTTTTACTTTGCCAGCTGTTTCAACCTAAAATTTGATAAACTTTTTTTAAAAATACAGAGCCAAATCATAGGTTATGCTACAGGCAGAACTGTAGAGTCACCTGAAATTAACCAATTTTGACTGAATTTATTTTTTTCTCGTTAATTCTTCTTCATTCTTTTTCTACGTGTTCACAGATGTAAGCTCTAGTGGAAAGTTCTGGTTGTTCATCCACTTCTGGACTGCAGTCCTGTTCCAGAACCTGAGTGTTGCAAATGCATCCATTTTACAGATCTGACTCATTTGTATGCAGACTGCTAGTTCCTTGCCCTTCAGGCAGATGTACTCCGACTTTAAAAGAAGCTCCCAATTAGTCGACTTTTACAACATGCTTTTGGGCAGTCAAGGAATTCCAGAGAAATTTGACTAAAAAGCTTAACCAAATGGGGAAGCAGAAAAATGTGCACAAAACAACACAAATAACGTAACGTTTCGGCCGGGCAGTCTTTGTCAAACAACACAAAAATAACAGGACAGTATACAGATCTCTTAGGGGTGACGTGAGCAACATTTTTAAAAAATGTGATGTGGAATAAATGAAATCAAATAAAATAAACAATGGCTAAAAAAATATAGTCGCAAAAAATACAAAGTAATATTTTTATTATATTATATAATAGTGGGAATCAAAGAAACACAAATGTTAATGATACATAAATTATACTGATAAGAGATCGAATAAAGTAATAATACGAAATAAAAGAAAAGAAAAGAAAATAATTAACATTTAAAATGTGAAAAGAGTAAAACTATTTAGATGAAGGTATGTTGGATATTGATACCACCTGGACTAAGAACGCCCAAGCTGTGGATGAGGCGATTTTCCAAAGCGAGGGGCGTAGTATGATCGCCAGAGCAAGATTTTAATGCTGTGACAGATATATCATCTTTACCTCTGTGGTCAGAGCTGTTAAAATGTTGTTGATTAATTTTGTGTAGCCTTTGTGACAAAGGCTGCCCGGCCAAAACGTTACATTATTTGTGTTGTTCTGAGCATGTTTTTCTGGTTCCCCATTTGGTTAAGCTTTTCAGTCAAATTTCTCTGGAATTTCTTGTATTAGCTTGACTGCAGTCACCCCCATATTTTCAACATTTTTGGATAGGCAGTGGGTCTATTCTTGTTTTCCCTATAACAGGGCCCCAGCACCCACACAGGGGACACAAACACCAAAATAACATCTGCCGTTCACACCTGACATGAGATAAAGGAATCCTGGTCTCTGTGAGCGCTGTCTCGTAGAGGGATTTGAAGCGGAAGGCCAGGGACTCCAACATGGACCTGACCAGATGTGCTTTTGTTGTGGACGGGGTCACCCCGAATATGGCCGTCACGGCTCTGTCATCGTTGAATGGGGCCTGCAGCCCACTGAATGCTGGCACGAAGAAGACTCCGCCGGAATCTGGCAATGAGAAATACAGATGAGTTAAATATGAAGATGTTAAGTTAGTTTTGTATCTTTCAAAGGACACTGCAGAACCAATCCCAGCATTTTTACGGTGTGTGTTTTTTCTAGGCAAATTTTATGTTCAGTAGTTTGCCACTGCTATCTGAACAGTTATCTCTCGGTGCCAGCGTCGAAAGCCATGCAAGACAAAGGATCTGCAGCTGGGATCAAACCTGGCACCGCGGCTTTTACAATGCTCATTCACAATGCCTAAGCAACAGAATGTAGATAGTACATTCTTCTTCTTCTTTTTCTTTTAGTTATGGAACTATTTCTACTTCCTCAAGAAGAGGAAGAAGACAAAGAAGAAGAGAAAAAAGAAAAAGAAAAAGAAAGAGAAAAACATATGTGTCATATGGGCTGTTAAGAACAGGAGAAAAGGGTTATGATTTCCCCTCACACAGCACACATTATTTGTTTTTTTTTTTTTAAACATTAACTGACTAAAATGTTGACTTGCAAGAAAATGAAACAATTTTAATAAAAACAGCAGTATGAAAACATCACAAACTGTTACCTGCAACAGATTCGGCCAAACTGGAACTTTCTGCAGGATCGGCTATCAGTCCTGATGGATAAACAAACAAATGAGTTAGCCAAAAACTATATAAAATACAAAGGCGATAACTACAAGTTAACTCCTTCTTCCCAAGAAGTAAAAAAACTGACTCTTGCAGTTAGTACCACTTTCTTAACTTGACGTCACGGGACAATCCAATATTTTCGAGGGTGGAAAAAGTGGGTTCCCTAGGCTTTCTATGTGTCTTTCCAGGTGTTGCCAAGTTTTTGGGCGCATTTCTTCCGGTGGCGTCTCTCTAGTGACCTGTGTTCAGTCTTCATTGCCATGAATTTCTTGGAATAATTAGGAGAATGCAGTTTTTGTGGGTAGTATCTTGTGTTGTTGTTTTTTTTTTGCTGGGGAGGAGAACCTAGGCTGCATACAGTCATGGGACATAGGCTGCACAGTCGTGGGACCTAGGCTACATACAGTCATGGGACCTAGGCTGCACTCTCTTGTGGGACACAGGTGGCTTGCACGGCAATTAAAATGCCAAAACACTAACTACAGGCTTCATCTACCACCCCCTTGAAATATCAGACTGTACTGTGACCTGTGAATTTCTCATGTTTGGGCGAATTATTAAGATAGAACAACATATGAAACATCCACAGCAGACCAGTGACTTACCTAATGTCTTTGCCCACTCTAGAACAATCCCAGTGTCAGCAGACTGCCCCTCTGCCAAAAACACCAGCTCATCCCTAATCTTCCAACCAATCAGTGGGTACAGACCTGCAAGGAAAACGGTAAATTTCACATAAAACAGACACAAGTAGATGAGAGCTGAATCTGGTTGTTCAAATACTTTTATGTAGTTCAGCCACAGAATACAGCCACAACACTCCCCAGAGTGCCAGCTATGTAACTACCCCTAAGAAACTGTTGAACATCATCGCTCTGAGTGCTCAAACTCAGCGAGACTAGAAGAATGCTACTCCTTCCGAGACCAGACAAATGGAACACCTTGTATCGAGGAAAAGAACAGCTTGTGATAACATGCAAATTCCACTTCATGGCATTTAGCTTCGGTATGCTTCGTGAAGAGTGGCAAGCATTGCTTCTGAGATCCCAGGTAGTTAGCATCCTTAGGATATTTTCTACAGGATAAGTTGGTGTATTCATAAATTAACAGGCAGACAGACTGGCTGGTTTTGCATAACTTGCTAGTGGAGTGACTAAAAAGCTCAACAAAATGGGGAAGCAGAAAAACGGACACAAAACAACACAGTGTAACATTTCGACCTGGACACTCATTCAATCACTAAGGAAAAAGATTGGAGCCTTTGAACTAAAATGTTACAGAAAAATTCTCAGAAAAGAAGAGGAAAATCATTGCCATTCTAAACGAATTGAACACCAAGGAAAACTGGCTCATAAGCAGCATCCTTTACCGAAAATGTGGCCACATCAAGCATCATGGTGGCTTAGAAAAGATGGTGCAGTTTGTGGAAGGCGAGGCAGGGGTCGACCACAGTGAAGATGGATACAGGACATTGAAGAAGCATTGGCATTGAAAGCACATGGGGGCGGACAGCTGGCTAGGGAAAGGGATACTTTCAGGCGTGCTGTAAAGGACTTGCTAATTGATGATGATGAATGCTTTATTTTTCACTGTTTGTCCATGTGATGTAAAACTGCACTGCTTCAAAGATAACATACAATTACAATATGAAAGACAAGTGCTCAGAAGGGCCAAACGTAAGAGGGGCCTGCGTGCCCAATTTACGACCCTCTGAAAAGAAAGTTTGTTCATTTTTCATTCAGAAACAGGCAACTGAAACCACTAAGGCAAAACTTAAAACTGAGAAAACCTAACCCATAAAAGAATATTTACATACTGTGTGACTGTGGGTGTGAATGCACTTGGATTGTCACCATGGTGACAGCCCTGCCGCAAAGTACTGAGAAACTCCAAGGTATGAACTATGGCAGCAGCTATGACGGCTGATTCTCACAGCTGTGATAGCGCTGGCGTAATGTGCTGAGAAACTCCTTGAAATGAACTATGGGATCAGCTATGAAGGATTCCATAAACAATGAGAATGGCCTTCAGGAAAACCTAAAAAGTAAACCAAACCAGTTCCAATGAAACACAAACTCTGGTAAATCCCAACCAAACCAAACTTAAGCTAACCACAATAAAACTCAAGCAAACCACAACAAAACTCAAGCAAACCACAATTAAACCAACATAAGGTAAACTAACCTCAACCAAACTAAGCTCCGGTAAACCACAATGAAACCTGACTCAGGTCAACCACAATTAAAGTACACCAAACCCCAGAACCCAACCCCTGGGAGTACACCCACCAAACCCCAGAACACAACTTCTGGGAGTACACACCAAACCCCAGAACCCAACCCCTGGGAGTACAAACACCAAACCCCAGAACACAACTTCTGGGAGTACACACCAAACCCCAGAACCCAACCCCTGGAAGTACACACCAAATCCCAGAACCCAACCCCTGGGAGTACAAACCCCAGAACACAACCCCTGGGAGTACAAACCCCAGAACCCAACCCCTGGGAGTACACACCAAACCCCAGAACACAACCCCTGGGAGTACACACCAAACCCCAGAACCCAACCACTGGGAGTACACACCAAACCCCAGAACCCAACCCTTGGGAGTACACACCAAACCCCAGAACCCAACCCCTGGGAGTACACACCAAACCCCAGAACCCAACCCCTGGGAGTACACACCAAACCCCAGAACACAACCCCTGGGAGTACACACCTGCAATAGACGCATGAGGCTTGCTGCCCGTGTTTAGATCTAAAAATGTTCCAGTTCCCATGGTGCACTTGACATCCCCCACATCGAAGCAACAATGGCCAAACATAGAACTCTGCTGGTCCGCAACCTGACACAAAGAGAAACGAATTGTGGGTAAGGTGAAACTGCACTGGAGCCCACAGAGTCAAATGAATAGATGCAGTCCAAAAACATATAAAGAGGAGAATAAGAGAATGAGGTGGAAAAGATAAGAAGGACTTGGGTGAGTGTTCTTGACAGCAAAGGAAAGGACAATCTGGATAAAGACAAATCAGTTAAAGATAAAAGATAAAAGAAGAAGAAGAAGAAGAAGAAGAAGAAGAAGAAGAGGAAGAAGACAAAGAAGAAGAAGAAGAAGAAGAAGAAGAAGAAGAAGAAGAAGAAGAAGAAGAAGAAGAAGAAGAAGAAGAAAAAGAAAAAGAAGAAGATGAAGAAGATAAAGAAGAAGAAGAAGAAGAAGAAGAAGAAGAAGAAGAAGAAGAAGAACGAACAAACAAACAAACAAACTTAATTTTCAAACGGTTAAAAATTGGGCATACAGGCCAGTCTGACATTCGGCCCTTCTAAGCACTCATCTTTCAGAGTACCAATGTCTGTTATTAATAATGCATGTTATGTTTATAATTTTAAAAATATACATTATAAAATAATGCATACACACATCATGTATACACAATCACACACACACACGTACACATACTCCAACACTCTCATACATACATACACGCACCTACATACACATACATCCACATGCACACATACATGCATACATACATTCCATACACACACACACCTACAATGCAGGCATACACACACATACAATCATATAAACAGACACCCACACACATACACACTCATATTTGCATACATAAATATGCCTCAATCACACAAACACTCATATACACTTACATACAGTCACACACACAATCACACATACATCTCTTCCAGATCTCAGCCCCTGCTGTTCTGGGCCAATCACATTGATATTCTTCTACGGCCCAAAATAGACACTTCCGTTTTGTGACATTTCCCCATAAAAGTCACTTTCCCGACTCGCTACAGAGACATATTTACAAAATGTCTAGTTAAAGAACTCTTTTTAATGAGTTTATGAGTGTTCAGCATGACATAAGATGACTAAATTCACTGACAGCAGCAGTTGGAGGGGAGAGGGTGTGTTATTTCTAAGAAAAAGGCTTTATTTCTAGAAATTTGTATGTCCCATTTTTTTTGTGTGCCTACAGAAGTTACCAGGTCACAGGGTCAAGAAAGTGTGATGCTTAATTTAGTCTGCAGGCCCCCAAGAGATGTAAGCAGGTTGATTCAATGTTGTACTGATTTTTATTGATTACTTCCCTTACTCTGTATGGTATCTGCTCATGTTTTGGATAATAAATGTGTTGTGCAATTGTTTTTGTGTGAACCATGGTTGTTTTTTTTAATAAAGGAAAAATGCTAAAAAGGGAAAGTACAAGAGCCTGGCTGTGCTTATTATATTACGGCCCTTTGGATGTCATAGAAAATAGTCACAGGGAGATAAATCTAGGGAGCAGGGTGGATGGTTGAGAACACACACTTGTTTTTGGGCAAACAAATTTGTGTACAACTACTGCCCGGTGAGCCGGTGCATTGTCATAAAGAAGGAAAAACCTGCCAGATGAATACTGGAGTCGGACTCGGAGAATACTTTTCAATAGATGTTTCAAAATACTTAAACTGTGGCTGTGACAGTCTGTGTCTCTGGAGTAAATTCTTTGTGAATAACTCCTTTGCTGTCGTAGAAGCACACCAACATTGTCTTTACTTTTGACTTTTAAGGTTCCTGTGTGGGTTCCAGGGCCCTGTTATAGGGAAAACAAGAATAGACATACTGCCTACCTAAAAGCATGTCATAAGAGTCAACTAACTGGGAGCTTCCTACAAAGTCGGAGTGCATCTGCCTGAGAGGTAAGGAACCAGCAGTCTGCATACAAATGAGTCAGATCAGTAAAACGGATGTACATGCAACACTCAGGTTCTGGAACAGGACTGCAGTCCAAAAGTGGATGAACATTCAGAACTTTCCGCCAGAGTTTACAGCTGGTGAAGGCGAAGAAGAAGAAGAAGAAGACTTTTAAAGACAGATTTTGTTTTGCCTTTTGATGATGATGATGATGACTTTAACTGAGCATTTTGTCATTTAGTTGTGGGATCATAGCGGAAAATCCATGTTTCATCCTCTGCAACAATCAATTTATAAAAATGTTTATTTTTGTGACACATTTTGATGATGTCTTTTGCATACGCAACCCACTGATGTTTTTGGTCATCAGACAACGAATGTGGTACTTTTTTTCTTGCCCAAATCTTTCACTAAAATTCTACGAATGGTCTCTCACACCAAATTTATCTGCCATCATCGTCACAGTCAAACAACGATCATCTTGTTTTCTTTCTCTGACTTTCGCAACTTGATCCTCGTTATGAACAGAAACTGGGCATCCAAGTCTATTTGCATTAGTAATCATTTCCACACCACTTTTGAATGGTGAGTACCACCTGAAAATCTGTACACGAGATAAATAATTATCCCATAAATGTTGCATCAATTCAACTGTCTCAGTGGTGCTTTTTCTAAGTTTCAAACAAAATTTAACGTTCGCTTTTTGCTCCATGCTGATTATGTAACAAGGCACCTCTGATTATGTCAACAAAATGGCGGCTTTTTTTTTGCAGTCTGCTTATTGGGCAGCAATAAAAAGTTGCCAGATTATAGATGAAGATTGCCTATTTGAATTCCATGCTTTGCTTCATAGATGGCATTTTTGTCTTGGCCATAATAAAATCAGTCTTATTAGTTAATCATCAGATCTTGTACTTCCCAGGACTGTATCTGGTACTTATTTATGACTATGTTGACTTGGGAACCAAGGTTACTCTTTTTATTAAAGTCCAGCTCCGTCAGAACCTGAGCCCCCGACCTTCCAATCAACAGCTGAGCATTTAGCCACTATACCACGGCGGCTCCAATACATGCAGCATGCAGATATTCATTCACACACAAACACTCACACACACACAATAAAAACAGAACTTCAGCTCAGGAAAAACAAACGTAAAATAACTTACAACAGCGGTGATAGGCACTTCAAAACCAATCACGGTTGCATCTGTGACACCAAAACTTCCACTGCAGATAACAGGATTGACAAAACAAACTAAATTAAAATTTACAACCACTCTGTGAAGCATTTACTTAAACTACCAGAAGCCGTAATAAACCCAAAAAAATATGAACTCTCCCACTCAGTGTAAACAAACAGAACAAGTGATACATTCAATATTGCTATGGTAACACAAGAATAATCTTGGATTTCCAGCAGAATGATGTACAGTGTAACTTGACAATATAATCTGTGTACTTCAGTGGAAGGGATTCATTTTTTGTGCTTCACTATATTGATTTAACGCTGTAGTAATGCTCTTCATGAGATACAGCGAAATATGTCAAGCAGTAAATTGTACAACGCATTGTACATTAGGAAGAATTTGGAAGCAACAGAGATGTGGTTTCTGAGACGAATGTTATGAATACCTTGGACGGCCAGAGTAACTAACAATTACTTAAAAGAAGCTAATGAAAGTAGATCTCTATATACAACAACAAGAAAGGGACAAACACTGTTCTTTGGCCACATAATGAGAAGAGAGACATTGGAGAACATCGTGACAACTAGAAAGATCAGTGGAAAAAGGGGTAGAGGCAGACCAAGAGAGATGATGCTGGATGGGCTGAAATGATAGCATGGAGGGATATCATCAAGAGAGCTGTTCCAAGGAAGCAGGGATCGTGATCTGTGGAGACGCATGAGCGCCTACGCCAGTTGGCAGGGCACATGATGAGACCACATCTCTGTTGCTTCAAAATTCTTATTAGTTCAGTGACATTCCAAGATTCGCTGCCATACAGCAAAACAGGTTCTATATAACATTTTAGCACCCTTTTACTGACATAAAATGATAGCAATTTATTGCATAATTTTCATTTTCTGAAATGCAGTTTTCGCTTGACCTATTCTGCTTTTAATCTCTGTCACACATTTTCCATCTGATGATATGTTTGTTCCCAGATATTTGAATTTATTGACCAATATATTTGATAATATTAAACCGAAAATCCATGTGTCTAGTCTGTCACAAGAACTCCTCCCAAACGGTGACCCCCGTGACCTCTCTTCCACACAAATGCAGTGTCCATGACTGACACTGAGAGCAGAGAGTTCAACAAAAAGTCAGCCCCATCAGCAGTGGTACAAACAGGCAACTCACCTGGTGTCCAGAATCTGAGGGAATATAGACATTGGAATATTGAGCAGGCCACACACAATCGTGCTCCACTCCATCTGGGGAAACCAAAGCAGAAATTGTGTGGTCCATTTTCAAAGGAAACATCGTATTTGGGGTCCTTCTCAACCAAAACATCACATACAGGGGTCAATTCTCAATCAGTTCAACATTTCTGTGGTATATTCTCAACCAATACAACACTTTCCATCAATACAAAATTTGTATGGTCCACTTCCAACAAATACAATATTTATGTGGTTCATTCTCAACCAATACAACACTTTCCATCAATACAACATTTACCAGGTCCACTTCCAACAAATACAATATTTATGTGGTCCATTCTCAACCAATACAACACTTTCCATCAAAATAACATTTACCTGGTCAACTGCAAACAAATACAACATTTATGTGGTCCACTGCCAAAAAATACAACATTTATGTGGTCCACTGCCAAAAAAATACAACATTTATGTGGTCCACTGCCAAAAAATACAACATTTATGTGGTCCACTGCAAACAAATACAACATTTATGTGGTCCACTGCCAAAAAATACAACATTTATGTGGTCCACTGCAAACAAATACAACATTTATGTAGTCCACTGCAAACAAATACAACATATAAATGGTCCACTGCCAAAATATATGTGGTGGAATGACAACAAATACAACATTAACATAGTCCACTGCCAAAAAATACAACACATATATGATCTATTGCCAACAAATACAACATATGTGTGGTCCAATATCAACAAATACAACACATATATGATCTATTGCCAACAAATACAACATATGTGTGGTCCGATATAAAAAAATACAACACATATATGATCTATTGCCAACAAAGACAACATATGTGTGCTCCAATATAAAAAAATACAACACATATATGATCTATTGCCAACAAAGACAACATATGTGTGGTCCAATATAAAAAAATACAACACATATATGATCTATTGCCAACAAAGACAACATATGTGTGGTCCAATATAAAAAAATACAACATATGTATGATCTATTGCCAACAAAGACAACATATGTGTGGTCCAATATCAACAAATACAACATATATATGATCTATTGCCAACAAAGACAACATATGTGTGGTCCAATATCAACAAATACAACATATATATGATCTATTGCCAACAAAGACAACATATGTGTGGTCCAATATCAACAAATACAACATATATATGATCTATTGCCAACAAAGACAACATATGTGTGGTCCAATATCAACAAATACAACATATATATGATCTATTGCCAACAAAGACAACATATGTGTGGTCCAATATCAACAAAGACAACATATGTGTGGTCCAATATCAACAAAGACAACATATGTGTGGTCCAATATAAAAAAATACAACACATATATGATCTATTGCCAACAAAGACAACATATGTGTGGTTCAATATCAAAAAATACAACACATATATGATCTATTGCCAACAAAGACAACATATGTGTGGTCCAATATCAACAAAGACAACATATGTGTGGTCCAATATCAACAAAGACAACATATGTGTGGTCCAATATCAAAAAATACAACACATATATGATCTATTGCCAACAAAGACAACATATGTGTGGTTCAATATAAAAAAAATACAACACATATATGACCTATTGCCAACAAAGACAACATATGTGTGGTCCAATATCAACAAAGACAACATATGTGTGGTCCAATATCAACAAAGACAACATATGTGTGGTCCAATATCAACAAAGACAACATATGTGTGGTGCAATATCAACAAATACAACATATGTGTGGTCCAATATCAACAAAGACAACATATGTGTGGTCCAATATCAACAAAGACAACATATGTGTGGTCAAATATCAACAAATACAACATATGTGTGGTCCAATATCAACAAAGACAGCATATGTGTGGTCCAATATCAACAAAGACAACATATGTGTTGTCCAATATCAACAAATACAAAATATGTGTGGTCCAATATCAACAAATACAACATATGTGTGGTCCAATATCAACAAAGACAACATATGTGTGGTCCAATATCAACAAAGACAACATATGTGTGGTCCAATATCAACAAAGACAACATATGTGTGGTCCAATATCAACTAATACAACATATGTGTGGTCCAATATCAACAAATACAACATATATATGAACTATTTCGAACAAAGACAATATATGTGTGGTCCAATATCAACAAAGACAACATATGTGTGGTCCAATATCAACAAAGACAACATATGTGTGGTCCAATATCAACAAATACAACATATGTGTGGTCCAATATCAACAAATACAACATATGTGTGGTCCAATATCAACAAATACAACATATGTGTGGTCCAATATCAACAAAGACAACATATGTGTGGTCCAATATCAACAAATACAACATATATATGATCTATTGCCAACAAAGACAATATATGTGTGGTCCAATATCAACAAAGATAACATATGTGTGGTCCAATATCAACAAATACAACATATGTGTGGTCCAATATCAACAAATACAACATATGTGTGGTCCAATATCAACAAATACAACATATGTGTGGTCCAATATCAACAAATACAACATATGTGTGGTCCAATATCAACAAATACAACATATATATATGATCTATTGCCAACAAAGACAACATATGTGTGGTCCAATATAAAAAAAATACAACACATATATGATCTATTCCCAACAAATACAACATATATATGATCTACTGCCAACAAATACAACAATTGTGTGGTCCAATATCAACAAATACAACATATGTGTGGTAATAAAAGAGCTGACTAGCTGGCAAGTAAAGCTCCAATACAAACAGGAAGAAGCCTGGACAGAGCTGACCAGCTGGCAAGTAAAGCTCCAATACAAACAGGAAGAAGCCTGGACAGAGCTGATATCATCAACGCTGTACAAACAAGGTTGGGGGATAATGTTGAATCGCTGATGCTAACACGATTGCATGACTGAGAAGTTGAGCTTGGTGAAGCATGTCTATGCCGTCTTCGAGGCAAAGAAAGGAGATACTATAACAAACTTAACATGTGGACAATTAGTAGAGATTCCTTGGAGTGGCTACTGCATCAGAGGACTGAGCACATATGGGAATGCCCAACGTGCAAAGACGTTGAAACAACTACAACACATTAAAAAAAAACACTACAGGACCATAAAAACAATGGGTGCTTTATTAATGTCCTACCCCAAACAGGGGAAATCCACAGATTACAGGACAGTCTAATATTTCAGGGGGTGGTAGATAGGCTGCATGCAGTCATGGGACCTAGGCTGCACTCTCTCGTGCGACGTACGTTGACTGGGGTTGGGGCCAGTGCTAGATGTTTTGGGGCCGTTAAAAGCATCAGAAAGCTGGAAAAACCCAGTCTTACCATCCTATGAAATACTTTAATGTCCTGTGACATCATCTGGGGTAAGATTTTAATAAAGAACCTAACAGTGTAACTGAACTGGCCAGAATTCCCGACTGAAGATTAAAAGGTAAAAACCAAATATTTAAATTCTTTACCTGGAAAGGATCAAAGAGGCCTGTGGAACTGGCACAAGAGTAATCGGTCACATGACTCTTCTTCCCCGTCAGATTCCACAAGATCCAGGATTCTGTGCAGCCGAACATGACCTGACCCAGTGCAGCACGCTCTCGGATCTGGAGTGTTCAGAAAGTTTATAATCTCACACAAACATGCGGGTTAATACAACTTCAGTTTCAAGAACTTCTTTGCGTTCTTCTTCTTCTTAAAGTCTATGCCTTGCGGTGTTGGTAGTCATGTCTATCCACAACCTTGTCTCGGGTACTTCCTGGTACCATGCCTTCTGCTATTTTTTCCAATCCATCATGGCTCTTGATATGACCTAACTATTTCAGATACCGAGACAGAATGCTGTTTATTAGCCAATCTTCCTTGATGTTCAGATATTTCAAGATGTCAGTATTTCTCTTCTTCTTTGTCAAAGATATTCTTAGAATCTTTCTATACCATTTCAGCTCAAAAGTCCCTATTCTCTTTTTTCAAGGACTGGATAATAGTCCACGACTCACACCTGAATTTTGCTACAGGGAAGATGCATGCTCTCAAAATTCTAATTTTGATCTCCTTGCTGGTGCTTAACCACAGACTTTTAAGGCTGTTCAATCTTTGCATTGCTATGACCACCCTCCTTTTAATTTCTGTCGAACACTCTCCATTGTTGTTTATTAGAGAGCCTAGATATTCAACATTTGTGACATTTTCAATTTCTTCATTATTTATTCTTATTTTTGGGTGACAGTTTTATCAGCGGACATTATTTTTTTTTTCTTTAAATTCAAGAACAAATTTTGATCTTCACTATGCTTTTGGACAGACAATATAAAATTTTCTAATTCCTTTACGCTGTTTGAAAGGAGGACTGTGTCATCTGTGTAGCGAAGTTCCAGAATAGGGTTGCCACCAATTTAATTAAATATAAATATACAAGGCTTAAAACACACACACAAGGGACTCAGGCAGTGACCCCATGACCTTTACCACTGAGGCTTATGACAAAATCTGACGTCATCTTGGCTTTTTTTAAAAGCCATTTAGCACAAAGGAAAAACCCCTCTAAGTGCTATTGTTAGTTAACTGATGAATATCATGACCTCCTGAACATCTGTGGAAACGTGAACTCAGCCAGCTGCATTAACTTTACATTAATCAAACAGTTCGTGATTAGCAAGTCAGAAAAGTGACATTTATGGGTAATTGGACTCAACTGGAAGTGTCAGTTTTCAGCTTCCTTGGGAATCCAGGGGATTCAGATCACATGGCTGGTGATGTCGCTACAAACTGCAGGTTAGGATTTTTTGTTTCTTTGGCCTTAACAAAAAAATAAAAAAGTGCTTCTCCGTAATAGAGGATCGAAATGGGTCTTCCACATGACAGATACAGTCCTTCTGTTTATAGTCCATGCCATGTGGTATTGGTAATCATGTCTAGCCACAAGCTTTTATCTATTCTGTACTTTAAATCAATTCTGACACAGAAGGTCTTCCGTACTTAGTAGCGTTGGTAGTCATGGATATCCACAACTTTCAATCAATTTTGACACAGATGATCTTCCATAGTCCCTGTGGTGCGCTGCTTAGTCTTGGACATAGCCGAGGTTTCAACTTCACTGTAATCGGGGTTTCCCCACATTTGCTCCATTCCTGTGCCAGTGCAAATCAAATTAAATGTCCCTCACTGTCTCATTTGAAAATGTGGTGAACAAACAATTAGTGTGCACTGACAGTTATGTCTATCCACAAGCTCCTGGCTTTCAATCAATTCTGTAACAGGCAACTAATTAGGGGTGTTTAAGAAGATTGTTACTGACAAACTAACAGCAAACTACAAGACAAACTAACAGCAAACTACGAGACAATCTAAAGCAAACTATGAGACAAACTAACAGCAAACTGTGAGACAAACAGCAAACAATGAGACAAACTAACAGCAAACTATGAGACAATCTAAAGCAAACAATGAGACAAACTAACAGCTAACTATGAGACAAACTAAAAGCAAGCTATGAGACAAACTAACAGCAAACTATGAGACAAACTACCAGCAAACTATGAGACAAACTAACAGTAAACTATGAGACAAACTAACAGCAAACTATGAGACAAACTAACAGCAAACCTCGAGACAAACTAACAGCAAACTCTGACATTACTTACAGCAGGGATGTTGTCAAATACCCACAGCAGTCTCATGGTAACTTGTTTTGACATAAACTTGAGCACACTCGCTGCCAGATGGCGTTTTTTCCTCATAAGTGCGTGAAGAATCTTCGCACCGGTATTTAGTGCACGTAATGTGTACGATTTGTTCCATATAGAAACATAATCGGCAGCTCGTAAGTCTTGCCAGGTGATAAGGTTATGGAACGGTTCGCCAGTTTCTCTGAAGAAGAAATGACGTAAACAGGTGATGACCAGTCATTTGGACATCCTCCGCTCTGATCCGGACACCAAGATTATCTTTAGTGAGAAACCTAGATTAGTTTACAGACGAGACCGCAACCTTAAAGACACACTTGTCCGAAGCCGACTCCCACCGATCCACATAGCACTTCCTTTTGGGACTACTCAGTGCTCACGCAGCACCTGCAAGACATGTCCTTTCGTTGTCCAGACTTCTTCCGTCAGTTTCCCTAATGGTTCTTTTCAAACTAGGGAACCTTTTACTTGCGAATCCCGCAATGTAATTTATGCAATTATCTGCAAACGATGCAGCAAGGCATACATTGGGGAGACTGGCAGGAAGCTAGCTGATCGTTTCCGGAAACACCTCTCCGATATTGACAAGAAGACACTCAAACCAATCCCTCTTCATTTTAATAGAACTGACCACAGCGGTAAAGATGACATATCTGTCACAGCATTAAAATCTTGCTCTGGCGATCATACTACCCGCCTCGCTTTGGAAAATCGCCTTATCCACAGCCTTGGCATTCTTAGTCCAAGTGGTATCAATATCCAACATACCTTCATCTAAATAGTTTTAATCTTATCACATTTTAAATGTTAATTATTTTATTTTATTTCATATTATTACTTTATTCTATTTCTTATCAGTATCATTTATGTATCATTAACACTTGCATTTCTTTTATTCCCAGTATTGTGACTATATTTTTTAGCCATCATTTATTTTATTTTATTTCATTTATTCGGCATCACATTTTTTTAAACATCGCTCACGTCACCCCTTAGAGATCTACATACTCTCCATTCCTCGTTTGTGTCTTTCACTTATGTTTGAAAAAGGCTGCCAGGCCGAAACGTTACGTTGTGTTGTTTTGTGCACGTTTTCCTCTTTTCCATTTTGTTGAGATTTTTAGTCAAATTTCTCTGAAATTCCTTGTATTACCTTGACTGCAGTCACCCCCCATAGTTTCAAGCTGATTGCAAGAAATGCTAAATATAACACAAATATACAAAATGCTTTTATTAGCCCTGTCGTCTTGTTCACTGCGCTTTCTAGTCACAGTTTGTGCTGTATTTAGTACTCCGTTGATAAAGACTGTGGTCGAAACGTTCTGCTGAGTTTGTGTACATCGTTTCCAGCGCTCTGTTGAGCTTTCTAGTCACTTTGTTTTATGGTTAGCATTTCTAAAGAAGTAAATAAATAAGTGAAAGATGTGCTACTACTCTTGTCTTCAGTACGACATGTGCAACAAGAGCATATAAAATATTATTTAATTTTAAAAATTTTTTTACAATTCCTAACAAACAAACAAAAACGAAAAACAAAAGACTTTTAAAAAAATGGATACTGAGTCAGAAGAAGACCATACAAACAGTGGGTAGACTTCTTCTTTTGTGCACTGACCCACTTTTGACTTAAGTCTTGTTTAAGAACTTGAGTTTTGCCTGCACATCCATTTTACAGATCTGGCTTATTTGTATGCAGACTGTTGGTTCCTCACCTCTCAGGCAGGTGTGCTCTACTTCAAAGGAAACACCCTTTATTGGTGGACTTTTATGACATGCTTGTTACAGGGGTTGATTGATGTGTTGCTGGCACTCAAATGAACTGAGGGGGCAAGGCTGTCCAAAAGCAACCTTAAGAAGAATGTTGATGAGATAGGCCAAAGGTAATGGGCCAGATTCTTCATTCATGATGCAGAAACTTTGCTTCCATCAAAGTCAGAGTGTATCTGCCAGAGAGGCAAAGAACCAACGGTCTGAATTTTAATAAGCCTGATCTGTAAAACAGATGTGCATCCCACACTCAAATTCTGGAACAAGACTAAAAGTCCAGTAGTGGATGAACCATTACAACCTTCCGCCCGAGTTCACAGCTGGTGAATGCTAAGAAGACACAACCGCAAGAACAGATGAGAATGGAAGAACAAACTGTGATCCCTATGTGATGTATAACAGCATAAAAGGATGATGATGATGACAATATCTCATTCTTTTTCTTTTTCAGCAAAGGTGTAATCGTTTTGTGTCCGTTTACAGCATGACTGCGATATTTGCACCTTTCCGCCAACACATCCGACTTCTGCAGGCATTTGTTGACTGGGTTAGCCTTCCCGATAAGTTTCTCATTGTTGTGTGGTCATCTTTATTTACCAGGTCACAGGTGGTGCCCCCCATCAGACAGGCCCAGAAAAGCCATGTAATGCTGATCAGCCCTCAAGAGAAGGCAGGGGCAGAACATGAGCATTCCCCGCCATCCAAGGAGCTTCCACAAATGCAGAGCAAAACACAGTGCTCTGATACTGGGGCTCACCCAAGGAATCGTCACGTCCTGCTCATGGCTGTTTAACCTCAGATATTTAACATCTCATTCATCATGGGCTATGTCTTTCAAAGCCAGCAGTAGACGGCCTGCAGACCTGGGATTTTGATTACATATACAAAATGAATGTTGAATTAAGAACCGACATCACAGCATTTGGGACACTCCCACAAGTACTCCGTCCCCATCTTCACCAACAGGTGAAGAGTTGCAATTCTGATGGTACCAGTAACCGTCTGATTGTATATCCGACTCATCCTTCCCCTAGGTATTGAGCGTCTGCCAGATCCCCTGGTAGCTTCTCACAGTGCCATTCTCCTTAGACCGTAATAATCTGTCTGTGCCTCCGCACTGTTCACTCGTTCCCAAAGAGCCCTCACAATATCTAACTCGTCATTTCTTCTCAGTATGTATCTGCAAGTTTCTGTAGGAAAAGAAACAAGCTTTTACAGAGTGTGGTAGCCAGCCCCACACACAACCCTCCTCCTTTCTCATCCTGGCTCGGGACCAGCAATGAGACTGGAGATTGTAAAGCTGATACATACTTTGTGTTGTATAAGTGTCTGCATTATGTGAGACTGGGGTCGGAGAAGACGACAGAGGAAACCTAAATCTTACCTGTCCCAGGTAACAAAGGTTGCCCTCATGGTTGTGATGCCCATACAGGTGATCTGCTGGGGCCTCAGACCTGCAGCTGTGAGAAAACAGGGGTGCTTTAATAATATCTGACCCCAGATGATGTCACAGGACAGTTCAACATTTTAGAGGGTGGTAAGACTGGGTTTCCCAGCTTTCTGATGCCTTTAACGACCCCAAAAATCTAGAACTGGCCCTAACCCCAACCCACCTACCTCCCACGAGAGAATGCAGCCTAGGTCCCACGAATGCATGTAGCTTAGGCATGCAGCCTATCTACCACCCCCTGAAATATCGGACTGCCCCGTGACATGTGGATTTCCCCTGTTTGGGGTAGGATATTAATAAAGCACCAAAACAGGTACATCCTTTCAAAAATTTATTATGGCAGAGCTTCATAATAGTACAAATATATGATGAGACTAACTTCCATACTCAACACTTTCAGGACACTCTAACACACCATACTTTGGAGAAAGTCACTCTCGTCACGACACAACTGAAAGTCTCGCTTTCTCTAGCCAATTCTCTCGTCCTTTCTTTTGTGTTCTTTTATAATATTCCTAATATGCATATCATCATATGATCATAACATGCTTTATTAGTAAAATACAACTGCTGTGCAAAAGATGGTTGACTGGAAGGGCTGAATGTTAGACGGGCCTGCGTGCCCAATTTGTGACCCTTTGAAAATAAAGTTTGTTCGTTCTCTTTTTTATAATAAAAAGTTACCCTGCCAAAGGTAGATAAATTACCTTTAATGCTGTCCTGTGCGACAGCACATACATCTGTTAGCAGTCTGTGAGGGTCTAGCTCTCGCCAACCTGGCAACGGCTGCAAGATCTGATGCTGTTGAAATGATTTCCAAGTTGAACACAGGCATAGGACAGTCAGAAACATCACTCTGTCACAGGACAATCAGAGACATCACTCTGTCACAGAACAATCAGAGACATCACTCTGTCACAGAACAATCAGAGACATAACTCTGTCACAGGACAATCAGAGACATCACTCTGTCACAGGACAATCAGAGACATCACTCTGTCACAGGACAATCAGAGACATCACTCTGTCACAGAACAATAAGAGACATCACTCTGTCACAGGATAATCAGAGATGTAACTCTGTCACAGGACAATCAGAGACATCACATTGTCACAGAACAATCAGAGACATCACTCTCTCGCAGGATATTTCAGAGACATCACTCTGTCACAGAACAATCAGAGACATCACTCTGTCACAGGATAATCAGAGACATAACTCTGTCACAGGACAATCAGAGACATCACTCTGTCACAGGACAATCAGAGACATCACTCTGTCACAGGACAATCAGAGACATAACTCTGTCACAGGACAATAATAGACATAACTGTGTCACAGGACAATCACAGACATAACTGTCACAGGATAATCAGATACATCACTTTGCCACAGGACAGTCAGAGACATCACTATAACAAGACAAATCATAAATCACAAACTTGAAGAAGCCAGATATATCAACAGAAAGGTGCAAAAATTACAGATAATCTGCACAAACGTAAACAATATAACTTAACACTACAACAGAAAAAAGGATGAAGTTAAGAAGAAGAAGAAATATAAGAAAAGCAAGAAGAGGAGGAATGGGAAGTAGTAGCAGTAACAGTAAAATAAGAGGGAAGACGAAAGGGGGGGGGGGGGGGGGCAAGAAGGAGGAAATGACAAACAAATAAGATCAACGAACAAGTTTACAAAAGAAACATACCTGCTTGGATATAGAGCCCTTCAGGCTCGCCGATTTGCTATAAACATGGCCCCTAAGATTGGTAGTGCCGATATCGATTGACAGTATAAACTGCTCTACCATGGATGGTGTTGTCGCGTTGACTTCCCCTTCTGATAGCGGAGCATTATTTAACAGCAAGGCTGGAAATGCATTCAGGTCTGGCTCATTTCCTACAGGTTCAAGCTGTGGAGTGTCACCGGCTCCCTCATCCATGTTTACATCCCTATATGAAATTAACTGAGGGATGGCAAAATAAAGAAATATTGGTTATTTACAAGCAATGCTATGCTCCCCGATTGTAAATTTTCAACAAAGAAGACACAAACAATAGATTGCACAATTTATTGCCTGGCATATGATTTTTTTTAAATTTGTACTTCAGTTATAAAGGATTTACTTATTTACTTCATTTGTGTAATTGTTACTGTAGTTTGCACCTGACGAGATGCAGCAAAATATAAAGTAAAGGTCCTCTCGCCAAGCCTTCATGCATATTGGGAATATAGGGCTAGACGTAAATTTTTACAGACCAATCAGCACTTGGTGATCACGCAGGCCACCTTGATGTACCCACTTAAGGCTGAGTTGACCTGGAGGTCAAGGTCATCTTTAAAAAAGTCAGGCTCCGTTAGGATGCAAACCCACGACCTTCCCATCCGTAGGTGGGTGTCTAGCAACCAAGGCCATGGCGACTCCCACAGCGAAATATGCTGGCAATAAATTGTGCAATCTAAAGTTTGCGTCTTCTTTGTTCAAATATACAAGAATTAGGTCCCTTTCATGGTTCAGAACTAGTGTTGGCCTGGTAGATTGTGAAGAGAAGTAAAACAATGGCAAAGTTCTGACCAGACAAACAGCACGAGCGATCATAATAGAAGCTTATAAACTAGACCCTTTTCCCCACCATTAGTGCTTTTGGTGCATGGTGCTACACCTATAATTTTAAAGACCAATCCGCTGTAGATGGGTGATGTTACAGAGCAGCTCAGGCTGCCCCTCGTCCGAGTCTGACCCCAAGCTCTCCCCTGTGCCTTCTAGCAGCTGTCAGCATGCAGCTGTGGTGACATCCCTCCCCCCTCCACATTTCCTCTCCGCAGCGGTTTTGACAGACTGGCTAAACTAATTGAGGGCAGTTGAATGGTGACTAGTCTTTGGTGAGTTAGGATCTGTCTATCCAAGTATGCACATAAAGAATGAGGGACCCCTTAAGACCGTAAAAACATAGGCTTAAGCCACGAGAATCTTTTACAACAGTTCAACCGCGACACTAATGACATTGGACGTTTGCAACAAGAACATTCTACTGTGTTTTAGTCTATCCTTCAAATAACGGCCACATATTATGGCGGTTAAAAACAGGGCCTCAGTCACATGTAAATTAAGGACTTCCAGCGACTTGAATTGCGGACTTCTGGCACCGCCGAGAGTATCTCCCGCGCCGCTACGCACAGAGCGGGGCTAAACTAGATGGCTGGGACTCACAAGCAAAGCTGCAGGAGATGTGGAAGCTGCTGCTCATGAGTCCTAGCCATCTAGTTTAGCCTTGCTCCACGCCGCCCGATGCGGTGTGGGAGATACTCTCGGCAGTGGCGGTAGTCGCCGGAAGTCCGCAATTTAAGTCGCCGGAAGTCCGCAATTTACATGTGACTGAGGCCCTGTCAGGTCATGTTTTTGGCCGCCATAATATGTGGCCGTTATTCGGAGGATAGTCGTGTTTTGTATTAATCAGTGTGAAGCAAGCCACTGCAACCACTGTAGTTTATTATTTATTAATATACCTAAGTCGGCAGGTCTAACATCTACAACTGCCAGTTCATCAATCGGTAGAACATTATTGCTAATCTCTGTCGGAGCTGATGGCCTGCTTGCCATATTGCCTGAAATAAATCCATCCTAATTTGACATATCAGTGAGGCCCTGTAGGATAAGATTTTAAGCCAGATATTCTGGGGCCATTATTCGGAGGAGTGCCAATTGCTTTTGCTTCTGTGAAATAGGACATATTCTTCTGCATATCCCCATCTCCAGAGCAATTTAATATTAACTACTAACTTACTTTAGAAACTGACACAGTCTTATATTAAAGGTTTCTATACAGCCAACAGACTGAAATGGTTGGGGCATAATGAAAGAATGTCAAATGACAGAGAAGTGAAAACTGCATACACAAGGGTGATGAATGGTCGTAAACCATGAGGGAGACCAAGAAGAAGATGAAGAGATAATGTCCAGACACACCTGCAAACACTTGGTGTCACCAACTGGAAAGAGAAGGCCAACCAGAGAAATGAATGGAGGCGGGTGATATCTGCAGCAATGAACCTCAAGGGCTCGCAATGCTGAAGAAGAATGCTAACCAGAGAGAACAGTGGAAACGGGTGATATCTGCAGCAATGAACCTCAAGGGCTGGCAATGCTGAAGAAGAAGGCTAACCAGAGAGATGAGTGGAAACGGGTGATATGTGCAGCAATTGACCTCAAGGGCTGGCAATGCTGAAGAAGAAGGCTAACCAGAGAGATGAGTGGAAACGGGTGATATGTGCAGCAATGACCTCAAGGGCTGGCAATGCTGAAGAAGAAGGCTAACCAGAGAGATGAGTGGAAACGGGTGATATCTGCAGCAATGAACCTCAAGGGCTGACAATGCTGAAGAAGAAGGCTAACCAGAGAGATGAGTGGAAACGGGTGATATCTGCAGCAATGAACCTCAAGGGCTGGCAATGCTGAAGAAGAAGGCTAACCAGAAAGATGAGTGGAAACGGGTGATATGTGCAGCAATGACCTCAAGAGTTCAGAATGCTGTAGAAGAAGAAGATACAGTGGCGGAAGTCATTGTGGTGCAGCGGCTGGATGCTGGCCTGTGGATCCAAAGGTTGTGAGTTCAGGCACTGATAGAGCCAGAATATTTTCTTTTTAAAAACACCTTGGCTCCCAGGTCAACCCAGCTTTAAATGGGTACCAGGTAAAGTTATGGGAAGTAAAGGCAGCTGGTGTGGTGTTGACAACATCACCCATTTTTTTCTGGCTGGTCTATAAAATAGAGGTCTAGCCGCATATGCATGAGGGCCTGGAAAAGGGTTCTTTATATTACTTACGGTTTCAAGTTTTTTTATTTAGACAGCGGATGAACACAATGGCCCAAAAGAAGTACCCCATAAGTGCTCCGTTCAACTTCTGACTTTAGCCTGATTCCGAAGAATCTCAGCGCAGTGCATGAACTCTGTAGCACCGGTGAGGATTACTTTACTTATACATCGGCAGAATTTTATTTGAGAAAATGTACATGACCTAGTGGCAGCACCCAACACATGTTTTACTTTAACTGACATCTAAAATTAAACACAGATAACACAAATGTTTTTTTTATTTTTACAGAACTATTTGACCAGCTCAAATATTTAATACTGAAGAAGAAATATTAATTTTTTTTTTTTTAACTTTTTGAGTTCCTACCTAGAAGCCCAATGAACGCAAGATGCGCCGATTTTATTACTTTCTTTACTACCACCTGGGTCTGGGAGGCTAAACTCCCTGGGACTCAAAGAGTTAAGTTACAAGATGTCCCAATTATAACATAACCTAGATGGGTTGAACAGAATTCTCTTCTTTCTGTTGTCTACTGCTGGAACGCCTCGCGGCGTCAGAGCAGGAAGAGATCTTTGGAACGGGCCCATCTGTTCGCTTTACTTTCTATAAAGCATTTTACAGTCTCTGATATTTCTGTAGTCCATGTTCCGCGTGGTCGGCCTCTGGATCTGTTTCCGTTGTATCTGTATAACACTGCTCTCTGTGGTGACCTGTCTTATGCCAATCTTGTCTGGTTACATGGCCAAATCATTTGATTTGTTGAACTGGGATATCACTCACTGTTTAAATAAACTACTACACTACTACAAGAACTAATTAATTCAAGCAACGATAAAATAACAAATACATTAATTACTGCCTATTAATACTATTATAACTAGAAGGAAATCACAAATATTCACCTTGGTGGTGCGAAGAAGTAAAAGAAGCAATTAAAAAGAAAAAAGACTTATATAAACAGTGGATAAAATCAAAGAAAGAAGAAGATTATATAAACAATAGACTGCAAAGGAGAGAAACCAACAGGAGTGTCAAGAAAGCAAAACAAGCATCCTGGGAACGTTTCGGTGAGTCACTAGCAGAAAATGAGAAAACAGCCAGCAGAAAATTTTTCAAAGCAGTTAAAAATATGCGGAAAAGAGATGAGAGCTACAACCCCACTGAAATAATAAATGATAAGACAGGAAGGCCATTGATAGATCCACCTGAGATAGCAGAAAGATGGAGGGAATACTTCAATGAGCTCTTTAATCCTCTAGGAGATCATCAGGAAAGAACAACTGAAGAGCACAGAGCAACAGTGTTAGAACCACACATACTAATGGATGAAACAGAAAAAGTCATTAAACAGTCTCCCAAATATAAAGCACCAGGAGCTGATAGATTACCAACAGAAATGATTCAAGCAGCAGGTGAAAGCAGCATCAGTTGGCTTCACAGAATATTCAATGCAGTATGGGTACAACAAACGGCCCCTATTGATTGGCAACATGCAATAGTTATACCATTGTGGAAGAACAAAGGAAGCAAACGAGAATGCGGTCAATATCGAGGCATCTCTCTTTTAAGCCATGTTGGCAAAATGTATGCCAAGATAATAGAAACAAGACTGAGACCAGTGATAGAACCACAGCTGGCAGAAGAACAGATGGGATTTAGGAGAAATAGAAGCTGCACAGATGCAATCTTCACACTTAAACAGTTAATAGAAAAGAACATTGAATACGATAAGAACTTATTTGTGGCATTCGTAGACCAGGAGAAGGCATTTGACAGAGTCGACAGACAATTATTATGGAAAATAATGGCAAGATATGGAGTAAGCGAACACCTCATCGAAGTGTGCAAAAGTTTATACAGGGATTGTAGAAGTGTAGTTAGAATAAATCAGGGAACATCTCATCCTTTCACAGTGACATCTGGAGTAAGACAGGGGTGTGTCTTATCACCACTGCTGTTTATCACCTACATCGACAGTATATGCAAGAAAGCCAAGCCCATGAATGAAGATCTTAGTAAGATCAACGAATTACTCTTTGCAGATGACCAGGCCTTGATAGCAGATACAACCCAGAAATTGCAACAACATATAACATCCATGAATGAAGAATGTAAAACAAATAATA